TTACGGTCAAATCACGCTGAAACAGGTACACTTGAGAAAGGTATGAATCCACTTTTTCTTCCTCACAGCTCTGTGTTAAATAGTAGAAGAGACTAGGTCCTATAGCCTTGGTTGGCAACCAATCTACCATAGAAATTCTTTTGCCAAGTCAATCAGGGATTGAAAAGAGACATATTTAATTAAACATGCACAGCACCTAAAGAAGGAATTGTTTGAGTAACTGAAGCCACTGGGGGGTGCACCATTAGTGAAATGGTATTAATATATCCCTAAACTTTTAAAAAAAATTAAATTCTTCTTTACTAAGATTGCTTCCATGCATGCTTTTGCAGAGACTGTCTTGGTTGCCAACCAGTCTAGGAAAAGGAAAATTCAAAATTAAGGACAGTTTGGAGATTTGATAACACACCGTGATCATCATTTTTCACCCCCTCAGTCCTTTTGAAAAGTGTGGGTGTTTCTGCACAAGCATTTGGGTAGTTCAGTTCCACAAAAGTAATCATATGAAGAGTCCACTAAAATGGACCTTTTTTTTATTAATTCAAAAGATTTTTAAAACTTTAAACTGTATTTTTATTCTAAAATTCACTTTAAGTTTGGATGTGAAACTGTGCAGATATGAAAATATTTGAGAGATCTACAACAGGAGAAATTTAACTTGAAAGCACAAAATTTGGCCTTGCCTGTCCAACTATTCTCTGTAGCCAAGACAGTAAGGTGCACTGTGCTAAATGGTAGCCCCCTAAGAGACACAGGCTTCCTGCTAGAGAGGACCAATTTTTCTTTAATAAGATTTCTCAAACATTCAGACTAGTAGACAAAAATAAATTATATGTACTGTTTAATAAATAAATGGAGGATCTACTCAAATACATGTATGCACTAAAAATAATATTTAAAGTTATATATATATATATATATAATGAAATGGACAAAGTCCAACAATTATTTTAAGACATTTAAGTTTTTTTTTCTCACATTATGAGGAGAGAGAACAAAAAAAAAAGAGTTAATACAAAGGGTAAGGGAAGGTAAAGAGATAGGACAGTGAAATTTGAAAAGAGCTACAATAAAGTGACAAATAAAATTCACAGAAGAATAAGTTAAAATGGTGTCTATTTAAACATCATCATCATCATCATATAATCACCAACACCATAATAACAATGACAATAATAAAAATAATATATAATATACTTATAAGAAAATTATATATTATTGTAAACATAAAAAATAAAAAAACACATATATTATATATATATATATATATATATATATATATATATATATATATTTCTACACATATTGTCATATATGAATGAAAAGTGTCACTGCTGACACCAGGGTTTGAACATGAACATCAAGACAATGAAAATATAAACTGCCATTTACTATAAATAGAGATATCATGCCACTGACTTGGTGGTTACAATTACATATTTGGCTATTGTGTTAACCCGGATGTTAAAGTCAAGTGTCACATGTTTCAAGACAAATTAGTACTTTTCTTAACAGCTCTACACAGTTGTGTGTATTAACTGATAAGTAATCAATAGTCTTTCCATTGACTTTGTTGTTAGTGTACTTTAACTGCATTTGGTAATTAAATACTTTATTATTTTACATTGAAATCTTTCTGTTATTACTTGTATTATGTATGTGTAATGGATTATAAAACACACACACACACACATATATATATATTATTTATCAACAATGTTTTTCTGCAAGTCAGGATAAATCTGAATTCATCATCTGTAATGTCTACATAGTTTTTAGCAAAATTTAAACTTTTTAATAATAGATCTTCAGAAATGGAGGGGTAGAAGTCTATTATGTCAAATTGGATAAAAGTGGCCTTATTTTTATCCTTAATACTATGGAACCACTTTATAGTATCCAAAGAATTTTTCCAAAGATTATTATAAGAAGTTTCTTGTATGGTGCAGGTTATTTTAATTATATTTTTTGAAATTAAACTTAGTTCTGTTTTGGAAGGATTGATCAATCGTGATTGTAAGTTGTTATCAAAATTGGGTTTGTGGTCTTTAAATGGTAAATATGAATTTGTCATATGGATTTTCCCCATTCTGTCTCCAATACCAAATTTATTAGCAAAATTAGCAGCATCCTTGTTAATTAAAGAAATAGTATTATTGTTATTGTCTAGTTTATAAGTGTTAGTGATTTTATTGAGGATGAGTTTGTGATAGAGGGGTTAATTTTATATTTCTGGATTTGTCAGCTCTAATCCACACAGGAGAATGGATTTTCATTTATTAATCTGACATTTTTAAATCATTGCTTAAGCATTATTTTTAGTGGATACCAATATTCGAGGAGATGCTCTGTTTATTTATTAAACTGTATGTTTATACTCTATGCACACTCCTACTGGAGAGTGCATATAGCATATACTTCTCTAATAAGAATATAGAAAAAATGGCTCTAATGAGATATATATATATTTGTTATGTCCACAAAAAACAGGAAAAAAATGAAATATCTAAGATTTAGTTTGGTTTGTTTTACAGCATATCAACCTCAATGGATTATTTAATGCTGACAAGATTTTTATTGCTGGTAATATTTTTGTTTTTGCAGAAATGTATAGCTGGTAATATTTTTTTTATTTCAAAATTTTTTTTTTTCAAAAATGTATTGCTGGCAAAATCTTCTTCAAAAATGTATTGCTGGTACTAATTTTTTCCCTCAAAAATTCATTGCTAGAAATAATTTTTTACAATAAGTATTGCTGATATTAAAACCTATTTTTACACTTTCTACATTTTTTGACTCCAGTTTGGGAGAGTCAACTACTTACCCATAGCTGGGACACTAACAGATACTACCACCCCAGGTCAGGGTGGACCTGGGAACACCAGCAATTAAGAGGTGGCTCCACACTCCTCAATACTTCCTTCCTGATCAGAGGCCTTACTGTTGGGTGTAGTTTATCATCTTACCCAGGATGCTCTAAGGTTTAAAATGATTTTTTATAAATGAAAAGTCTTTCTTGACACTTTTATTTTAATTTTAATTTGTATTAAGCTTTTAATTTCAAGCTAATAGATTAAATTTCATAAAATACATCTATTGGATTTTGGATTTCTGGTCCACAAGAGCATTTGTGCCCCAGGTTGCCGCCCAGCCACCATATGGAGGCCAGCTTGTCCTATGGATATGTGCCTACACATCATCATCTCCACCATCAGGGTTGGTGCGATTCTTTTTTCTAGCCAAGGTCATTTTTACGATCATCCGGTTTGGGGTTTCAGATCTTTAAACATCATACTTTCTCTCTCCTGGGCAAACCCCCATCTTTGCTGGACCACCCACACCATTTACAGACTCAAACCAATACTGATTGGGTATCAATTTGTGTTCCTTCTATTAGATACAATTTTTTCCATCTTCCTAATTACACACCATGCAACTCCTTTTGGCAATTTATTGGCAAATTTAATATTTCTAATAAGCAAAATACTTTGCTGCATTTCAAAAACTAATTTAAATTGACTGGTAGGAGTTTTTTTTGCTAAAATATCTGATTAGTATACTTTTTTTAGTCATATTTCATCACAATGTAATTCTTTTTGTTGAAAAATCTTCCAAAAATAAAATATACTTTTCTGAAACTGAGTAATATCAGCTGATTTAAAGTATAATTAATGTGATTTGAATCAAATACTATTTACTTCAACTTTAAAATATTGCAAAAAGGATTAACTCGACAGTAGCTGATTTGATGTATTGACAGCTTGATGGCAGGTTTAATGTTGTTCTATGGAGATTTTATCTGTAAAACATAATTTAAGAAAATGACAAGAGTGTTTTTTTTATATCATTTTTAAGTACTCAATTATCTTAAAAATTTAGGAAAACATTCTCCGTAATCTGATGTTTTAATGAATTTTGGCTTTAAATTTAATATAGTTATTACACTTATTTTCTAATGTTGCATATGGTCGACTGTACTTACAAAAATTGGCACATTTATACACTAATAATAAAAAGATACAAAATTATTTTAAAATATTGGTGTGTGATGATTTGTATTAAACTTTTTCATTTATAATTAATAATAATATGATTTAAAAGGCTGAAATTAATACAGAATTTTTAAAGACTTAAAACTTAATAAATTTTTTCTAATTAAAATTTTAAAAAAATGAAAACAATTCTTGGAAAAATTCATTAATCATTGAAAAAAAATTTTTTTTTAAATAATAGTATCCTTAATATATCTTATTTAAAAATGCAAATTAAAAGCTTTTCTAATTAAATAAGATCATAGTTTTGCTACATTGTTGTATTATGATTCAGAGTAGATTTTCAGTAAATGGTGTTTCTGTTTGACAAAAACAAATTGATGATTTAAATTCTCCAAGGAGTCCTGCTTTTAACCAATATAAATATGAACATGTTGAAATCTTAATTTCTTGAAATTTCCTAAAACTAAGTGGGGGTAATAGATGTAAAAAAAAAAAAAATATTTTTGTAAAGATTTTCTAAAAATAAAAAAATAAAGAAAAAATTCTAAAATAATTCATTTGTGACTAAATCCTGAAAATTTAATTAAATTTTTGCAAGGATTTTTCATTCTAAAATTCCTAGTGTCACTCATTCATGCACATGTGTATTTGCATCAACATAAACACAAACTTAGTCTGATGATGTCCTAAAGGACGAAACGCATTACACAAAAACTTTTTCCATTTTGTCTTACTTTTTCCCTTAAAACTGCTCTTCGTATATATAAAAAAATTACCTATCATTATCCTATATATATATATATATATATATATATACACACACACACAAGTAATCTAGAGGTAATGATTATAAATAACCCTAATATATTTACAGGCATACTTCCTCTAATTCTCCAACCAAAATAAATAACCAATTCATCGATCATAACCATAAATATAATTTATTTACATGCACACTTCCTCCAATCACACAACCAGCATAAATAAGCAATTTATAGGTCATGCTTACAGCCATATCATGTTGAACACACTAGTTCTCAACCGATCACTAAAGTTAAGCAGCATTCAGCCTGGTCAGTAGTAAGATGGGTGATTGTTTGGGAATGTCAGCTGCTGTAAGGATTTTTCTTTTTTGTTTGGATGTGCATTGTGGTGCAATGGATATCAATTCGGAATGAGAAATCAGAGAGCTGAGTTTGTTAAATTTACTTACATGTGGGAAAGTTATGAATCCATCTCTTCTCTCTCCAGCTATGGGTTGAATAGCAAGACTGACTGGGTTCTATAGCTTTGGTTGGTAACCAGTCTACTGCAGAAAGAAATGGCAACCTATTGCAGGAAAATATTCTGCCTAGTCAGTCATGGAATGAAAGAGACATGACCATCCAAGCATGTACCACATATGGCACTAAACCGACTAATAGGTAATTACATGCACACTTCCTCCAACCACCCAACCAGCATAAAGAAGCCTATCTATTAGGCCCTAAAGCAAAGAAACCGGTAACTATAGATAAAAACTGTTTGGTGATTTGATCAAATATTGGGGAGTGAGTCAGGTTGAGAAATTTTCAGCACCCCCTTATATATCCATTTTTTAAAAGATAATTAGTGTCAATTCTCATTTTTAAGGAAGAGTTATTTCATTGTATAAAAAGTATCATTTCTATTTTCTTTAATGAAAGCTTCCCCAACCTTCAGAGGTTTTTTTTTGTTTATTCATTTCTCTCCTTAATGAAATAAACCAAATATGAAAATAAATCATGAATTATTACATGAAACGGAACTGACTTTTCTCTAGACTTTTTTTAAGTGTTCGTCTGTGAATAAAAAGCAAATATAAGATTTCAGAGAAAGAAAAAAAAAAACATTATTCATTTATTCATCCCCCTTCCACATCCACTTCCTATGTTAGAAATATAAAATCATGATAAGTAGATTTTCACATTTCAAAAGAATAAAAAGTGAAGTTAAATAAACACATAAAAAACATTCTAAAAAAGATATACGGAAGCCAATTCTTCTGATGACAAAACATACAATCGGCTTTTAAGAGAAGTGCAGAATAGTTGGAGAGGAGCTGAGATATGTGGAGGAAAAAGGAAAGATATTGTGGAGTAGATTTGAGTATCTTTTAACTGTTTACCAAAATTATAGAATCAAGGTAGAAAACTCTAAGAGTGTCTGAATCATTGGGTTCAAAACCTCCACCAAATACAATGATCACAGACTTTTGTAAACAACACTTTGAAAGTGAATAAGATATGTGAAGGAATTAAACAAAAAAGGAAAAATAGAGAGAAAGGAAAATAAAGGAGGAAGGACAAGAAAAAGGGAAAAAAAAAGTAAAAAAGAGAGAGAGAGGAGAAAGAGAAAAGGAGAGGAGAAAGAGAAAACGAGAGAGAGAGAAAGAGAAAACAAGAGAGAGAGAAAGAGAAAACAAGAGAGAGAGAAAGAAAAACAAGAGAGAGAAAAAAAAGAGAGAAAAGAGAGAAAGAGAAAACGAGAAGAAAGAAAAAAAAGAGAGAAAGAGAAAACGAGAGAGAGAAAGAGAAAACGAGAGAGAGAAAGAGAAAAAAGTGAAAAAGCGAAGAGAGAGTGAGAAAGAGAAAAAGTGAGAAAGAGAAAAAGCTACTTCCAGGAGATCCATTTTTAGACAGCACCTCTACATTGCACTTCCAACAGGTAAGCTAATGGGAAGACCTCCATAATATCAGAAAATTGAGTAGAGTCTAATCTCTGTTGCAGACACCTGTTCTGGCACATTTATGTTTCTTCATACTTCAATTATGTCGTGCGGTCTTTAATTACAGTTTCTGAGAGAGAGTGCATAATCTAAGGTGATCAAGAGCTCAAACCCTTTGGTCACAATGACTTTGGCAACATGCTACAGCATTCACTGACAGTTTTGAGAGCAACCTTCTCAATGGTGCTGCACACTGTGATTGTCTCCGCAGGCTGATCTTATCAAGGAGTCACCTCCATGACAAATTGACCATGGTAAGAATCAAGCCCAGGTCACATGGTTGGTATAATTGTTGTGTGCAAGCATTCACTACTAAAAAAATACCTATTTATTATGGATTGAGTGATTTTTTATGGCATAAAGGTTATTTAAAGCCAAAACATTTTTGGATTCAATTTTAAGATAATACTGATTTTCCTACAAGTCCTACTATTTAACCCATAGCTGGAAGAAGTGGTTTATTCATACGTTTTTTGAAGATAACTCATAGCAAGGAGGAGGAGAAGAACTAGATTCATACCTTTCCCAAGGGTATTTACATTAAGCAAATATAATGAGCCTGACTGGAATTTGAACTCAGCTCTCCAATTATACTTACTCTTATCCATTACACCACCTGGACATCCAAAATTACAGGATCTGGTATTTCCAAGAAGTCACCCATCTAGGTAGTGACCAGGGTCATCATTGCTTAACTTTAGTGATTGTATAAGAACTGGTGTTTCAACATGATATGTCTGGAAGCCATTTATTATGGAAGCTCTCTTTTCATGTGATATTCTAAACATCATGACAAATGAAAATGGCTTTGAAATTAAAAATGAATTACACTTGATTTATATATATAACCTATTCTCTTCTCGACTCTTACTACACAATGTGCATATACTTACATGAATTTGTGATAAAATAATATTGCTCTGTAACAGGGTAGTGGCTCTGACAGTCATATTATTGCATGAAATATTGTTTAGCAACTTGAGGTATTGAGAGATTTAGTAATCTGGAGTGAAGGGGTACAAATAATTTGATGGAGAAAAATATGGGAGAGTGGTTAATTGGGGTGGAACCTGATGGAAAATAGTTTGGTTTAACAATATTAATTTGAACTAATAATAAATCAAGTAAGATTCAATAAAGTCCAGTGTAACAGAAATTCCCTGCTTAGCCCCACAGCCCTGAGGAAGTTGTAATGATGTGATTAATATGTTTGCCAAAATTCTGAAAAATCCAGATAAAATATTTTAGTATCCTCTCAAGCAGAATTATATTGACACCTTACCAAAATCTTCCTGATTATTTTAGATGCATGGGCGATGTTAATAGGAAGTTTTTTTGTTCAGGGATGAAATCAATTAAAGTCACATTTTGGAACATTGATATAAGCACACATACACACACATGCCATTTTTGTCAGTTCATATCAGGCAATTTCTGAGACCACACTAACATGCCCACATTTTAATTATTATATATCTGTTATAAAGTGTTTATAACACTTGTAGTTCTTGTTAATAATACTATAAGGAAACACTGGAATAAAAGGTTGAGTGAAAAACAGGTTTAATCACATGAGAGACATGGGTTAATAATAGAGAATACTGTAGTTCAGTTTGGCAATGCATATGACTCAAATGCTACACCTTGCAACTCACTTTGCAATGACCATTCATATGAGCAGAAGTTCTACTCATAGCAGATGGATGAGTCCATGTTCAACAATTAGGGTAGAGAAGGCAGGTCACCTTTCTTCATAATATCTCTCAATGCTTGAATAGAAGAAAAGAATTTACTGAAGTTGAATCGCATAAATGTGATGGATGCAACTTTTATATTTTCTCATCATTGATGAAATTGTTGCTAGATTTATCAAAGGCATGCATTCTTTCTACTAGAAATTCCCCAAATTTCAGGAAGGTTACCCAAGTTAAGAAAGTTGCTAGGATCAAGACATCACTTCGACCACAGACTAAAACCACGTCCTGTTGGAATTAATATAAAGACATGCTGCATAATTAATCCCAGCAGGCACACACACACAAAAAAAAAAAAAAAAACATTTCTCTAGGTGATATGACACTGATGAGAGAGATGAATGATTGAAATACCTATGCCCAATTCCTACACCGAACTGTAAGACCTGGTACTGTGATTACTGGCTGAAGTTCACACTTGGCATAGGGCCACCAGAATAGCTGATTATATCACATTTATGCCATATTTGATACCGTGACGACCAAAAAGGCTTATAACTATGAAGTAAACTTATAATAATATGAGGGGAAATCAGAAAGTAAAACAATTTTGAAATTACACAGTAAAAATAACAGGGAGGCATTGATGTATGACATCTTGTGATGACGAGTAGCTAGCCACATGCAACTTTATATTGGTCAGTCAAGTGGTAGAGAGCAAGAAGGTCAGAAGTATGGATACTATTTAGCAATTGTACCATCAAGGAATAATGTACTGTACTGTGCAATTTTTGGCTGAGGGAGTTAAACCTGTAGCAATCCATCACTGGATGTTGTCGCAGTATGAAGCACATGACATAAATCAACAAAAGGTCCGAGTCACATCTTAAAGTGAGAAGAACAAGTGTAATGAACAAAAGACAATTGGGTCACCCATCAACATCGCAAACGGAAAAACACAACCAGAAGATGGATGCCTTGATCAGGGAAGACCAATAAATCACGTTAGTATAAGTGGTGGCATTTGTGGGCATCAGCTATTGATCTTTACAATAATGCATGATGACTTGTGCTCATTGGGTGCAGACATAGTATTTGTGAGCATCCAAAAAGCTTTTCAGAAGGGATGATTTAGTTTGGTTTGTGGCATATTGTTGTGGTAGGATCCACCTAATTTGCATAGTGGAGTACCGACCATATAAATATGGTTGGTACCGGGAAGAGAGGGAGGAATCAAGAGATTCAACCAGAGACTCTGCCCGACTGCGACTCAGTCAACACATTCTCCAGGAACGGTCTTTCCAGGAATATACAAAAGACTATATGTAAATATTGTGTACACTTCCTTGTTTCAATACATTTTGTTCTAAGTACATTTTGTGTTGCATTATTATTCCATGCATAAGTCAAGTTTCAACACATATCAAACTCAATGGGCTATTTAATGCCAACAAAATTTTTATTGCTGGTAATTTTTTTAAATGTATAGCTGATAATATTTTTTCCAAATATACATTGCTGGTAATATTTTTGTTTTCAAAATTGTATTGCTGGTAATAATTTTTCTTCAAAAAAATTTATTGCTGGTAATAGTTTTTTTTAACCCCAGTTTTGGGGATTAACTATTAACCCATAGCTGGGACCCTAACAGGTGCTACCACCCTGGGTCAGGGAGTACC